TGATTATGCTTTTACCACCAAAATGCATTTATTTTAAAGGTAACAATACAGACTCAGAGAATAGCTTATGTTTCATCTATATTTATCAGCACTCACTGTACATTTGTGTCTTCATTACCAGGAAATATTAAGGGACATTGTGCCATCTATTCCTGTTTACAGTTTATTATGCAGAGATAGGAAACACTTAGCATGTAAAATGAATGTAGAAATTATTCCTGGATAGAAACACGGACATTTCCCACTCGTTGGCTCTTTCTCCTCCATCACCGGATCAGAGTGTAATTGTCAGTAATCAGGCCTGCTTGCTGCTGATAAAACCACTCTGAATGCTAGCAGCCTTCTTTGTGTGATGACTCAATTATTCCAGAAGTGCCTCATCAAATCTGCCCCATCAGCTGGGCTAATAAATAAGGAGAAGAAACTGGCCCCCCAAAGCAAATTATAAATCCATTTGCATTAACCATTTCGCTGGTCCATGATCTAGGCAGAAATAAGCATGGCAGATTGTGTTAAGCTTATTTGAATATGTTTATAATGTTTACAGCATGCAACCTTTTTTTTTTTTTCACAAGGTGTTGGAATTATCGGTCATGAATAGCATCTAAATGCAGTTATGTTAATTACAGCAAAGCCTCAGGCATCTTTGAGGGATAGTTTGTTGCTTAAATCAGGTGAAAGTTAAACCCCTCTGCTAGGTGAAATATGATCTTGCGCATGGCATTGGGATTAGTGCTGTGTTTAAAAGCGAGGATGAGTGCAAGGGATGTGTTTTTACAGGTACTGGAAGGACAACTGCCTGTGTTACCAGGCTGTCTTGCACTGGTAACGTGACCTCCTGTTCATCTCAGAGTAGAACTAAGTAAGATAAAGTTTAGCCTTATAACTGGGAAAGAAAATGCAATAGATGAGCCAGCAATAATTCTGTTTCATGTGCACTTTGCATTTAATAAAACAAGTGCAAAGAGGAGTACTCTGCCCCAAGGAAATTCCTTTCTGAAGCTCAAATTGTATAAAAATGATGTTTCCAAGTAGACTCCTTCAGATTTCCAAGGCTGCCCATGTGTACTGCAGTGAGGGTGTTAAAATGAAGCATCAGAAGGCCAAATGAAATGAATTTGTTTACTCGTGCGCTCAACATTACACACGTGGTTAAGGGTCTCGCTGAGATGACTCATAAGTTTGTGCAGAACTTAGTGTGTAAAGTTATGTACTTCAGCCTGTGCAGAATAAAGGTCTGACTGCAGTCAATATATCTTCATTCACTTTTAATGGCATCTTTAGCTTTCACATATTTTTTTCTCAAATGTTAAATATATTGTGCTATTTTATCTTGAGAAAGAGAAATCATTGTCACTGTAGAAACACGGAAAATGTTTAGGGATCATAATGGTGAGCACATTGGATTTTGTTTCCTTAGCTATTACTTCCATTCTGAGTTAACAAATCACAAAATGTTGTGATCGTTCATTTTCATATTTGCAATATATCAACTAGTGATGTGGTAAATGAGAGAAAATCAAATTCATCTGTTGGAAATGATATCCATTATGCTCAAAAAAGTTGCTGGGGTCTTTTACAGATGTAGTACTGCTTTGTGTGCTGCAATTCCGCCAGAGAAAACAACTTCAGACTTTTGATGAGATAATTTTTGACTGTAGAATACATCTTTTCTCATTATTAAGTCCTCAGGAACGTTCTAGTAATCTGACCTGAATGGGTGGGCTTTTACCCATAGACAACGGGTCAACAAGATGGTGTCACACACATCTGATGTTGAGGATCAGGGCCCAAATGGTGATTCACATCAGTATCCTGGTATGACTCATGGATCTCAGTAGGATGTCACTTCAGAGTCAGTGCAAAATCATGTTGCACTGGAAACGGCTATAAACCAAAGAATGAATTGCAAAGGTTCCAGGTGACTTCACTGAACCATTACATTGACAAATCAAGCAATTTATTTGTTCCATCTTTGCAGGTTTATAAAGTTTATTATTCTAGTTGAATTGAGGCGCTGGTTGAAAAGGGTGAAGGTTTTCTTTGTAGGCAGGCAAACTTCACCTTCAGGATTAAAAAATTCTGTTCAGACATATAGGGAGTTGAAGTGTAGGCATAATTTGCCATCTGTAAATCCTTTTGAATACTTTACTAAAACAGACAAATGAGTTAATGCAAACTATGACTAGATTGGGCCAAATGAAGATACGTGTGGACTTAAGGGGAGTGATCCCACCAAAGAACCTTGGTTGACAAATAATTAAGTTAGTTCTACCTGATTTCCATCAACAACGATCTTATCAAAGTTGCCAATAACATAGATAGATGTTCTTTATAGGCTCTTGAGGCTGAGATCTTAATTTTTCCAGTTGGCATTGCAGCCTTTTATCTTCACTTCTTGCAACACCTCAAAATTTGGCCCACGACTAATTTTATAATTCATAAAATATACTGAAATAAAGTGTTTCTCACTAATTCGTTGTATAGTATCTTGATGTTAATGTGAAATCAGCACTAACTCTTGTTTGCTACCTGAAGTATCAGATGCCAGCACTTATATTTGAAATGTAAGTTGCTTCTTGGAGTGTGGACAGGGGTGACGCATAGTTTATATTCCATTAGGGGTATGTCACATCCCATGACACAGCATAATCCTACACACCCTGTTTATAACATGACAGATGCATGACATTGTATTAGACTTTTTATGAAACACCGTATCTTCAAATGTGGGTACTCACCCACGAATCAGCTGTATGGCAGCCAGCACCCTGTTATGTGAAAGAAATAGAAAATAGCACATGAAAACTTATTAGCCAGTAACTTCTGTTGTGATTAAACACAGAAGAGGGGTTCAGGCTTCGTGCTTTATATGAAGTCTTGCTTTTGTCCTACTATAACACCCTTTGCTTTACAAAGATAGCTGATGATGCCGCATGCAAGGCAGATGGGAGTAAAATAGCAAATGGCACTGTTGCATGTAGTTTTCCAGTACAATTTTAAAACCTGCCCCCCGCAGCCCCGACCCAGCCCAGACTCCTTTTCTTAAAAGGAGGATTTTCAATGTATTAGCTTATTATGTGAAGTTAAATGTGAAAAGTTTTGTATATTTTCCTGTCTTTTGTGCACTTTTCCAAGTGGATCTCAGCTGTGCTGTCTTAACTCTCAGTCCCTTAGGATGAGAGAGACAGCAGATGGGGTTAGGGCAGAGGGCTGATGCTTCTGACAGCAAACGGCCTGGTTGTTGAGTGGAAGCTGTGAGCGTCAGGAAGCTCCTTTTCCCCAGAGAACCAACTAACCACTGAAGAAAGTTGAAAATGAGCCCTTTGAGAAATGCTATTAAAAGTAGTAAAAAATTGCAATTGTGCAGATGATGTGCTGCTGTGTGGTTATTCGGATGCTAATGAGTTTGACATTAGGGAACTCAAAGGGTTTACAGCTACTCCCTTATGTGATTTAGTTCTTTATTGGCAATCTTTGGGAAAATAAATGAAAAATATATTGCTAATAAATACATAACTTGATAGAATTTTAGACAAAAAGCTGCTAGGTTTTAGGCTTTAGAAAGAGCTTTTTTCACCATTGTAGCTATTCTCAGAGATCTTTTGTTTTAGGTTAGTGTGTTTGGAACAAAGAGGAAGAGGTAGGTAGGAAGTTTTAAGACTCCTTCTGTTTTGGTTTTTTTTTTTTTTTTCATGGATGTTGAAATAGAATAATGGGGAAAGAGGCCTTTGAGGATAAACATCTTTTTCCAGCAACATATTGGCTAGAAAACTGCTTAAAAATATATTTTTTTGGTATTGGGCTGGTTTGTTCTGGGTTGTCTGTCTTTATCATCTTGCATCTCTTCTCTGTTTTGCTATTTGATAAAAGCTTATTTGTTTTAATTAAAACTTACTGATGGGATCAGACTAATATTATATCTATTGGGACTCAAGCAGAAATCAGACACTCATTAAACGCTAGCTTCGCTGAGAATCTGTTTACAATGAGCTTTTCAAATTTCAGAAATGTAACATTACAAATTTTACTGACAAAACTTCATCAGATATCATTAAATGAGTAGTTGAAGTTTCACCTTCAAGGTCCAAAAGTTTATCTGCAAACTTTGTCGTAATGGAAATACATTGAATGAATAGATCTATTTTAGTAAATACACTAGATACTATTTGAAAAGGACCTCTGAAGTTGCAAGGGATAGTAAAATTTTTATATTTTGGTCACTAGTGGCAGGAGTGATGCTAAAATAAAGCCTGACCATAATAACTGCTTACATTTTCCCAGGTTGCAAGTACCTACAACTTTAAGTGTTTGAAGGGTTTAGTTATTCATTATTTCTGAATATCAGGCCCTCAGTATTGTACACTCAGATAGAAACTTCTGCAGCTCTTCTTTCCTCACTGTTACTGTTGATTTAGCAAGAGTTTCCACACAGAAAGGAACAAAAATTTAGCGCAGAGAAGTGTCAAGGATTTCCTTCAGTTTGCTTGTGGTGAGAACACTATCAGTCTGCCAAACTTTAAACACTGATACTCAAAAGCAGAAAAAAATAAAACTGAGGGGGTTTCTGCTATTATTAAAATATTTTAGAATGCTTCTCATTTATTTCACATCATGTACTGAACCATCCTACTCAGTCAAAGTGGTTCTGATGCAGTAAAAGCATTTGACTAAGGATTTCTACATATAGAAAATGTGTGTTTTTGTCTGTGCAAGAAGAAAATAATTTCTTAGAGAAGGTCTATTTCATAAGCTATCAGAAAGGGCATTAACAATATAAAGAAAGTACCATAACAAAAGAAAAATTGCTATTCTTTCTGCCTTTTAGAAGCATCATTGATGCCTCTATACCACATCTTTGAAAAACCGCACAAGAAAAAAATGCGCCTGGACTATTTGCCCACTTGATTTAAAGAGTGTCCTGTTTCATCTATGTTTTATTTAGTATAGTTGGGTTTTGGTTTTCTTTTATTGGTTTTGTTTTGTTTTGTTTTTCCCAGAGAATGAATTTCAGCATTATCTGTTAAATCAGGCAAGGCATCTTGGACTGAGTGACGAATTTGGAATTCCTTTGGAATCTGCACATATTTTCACCCGGAAACACACAAAGGTGGGATAATTTATTTACAAAAATGAATTTGTGTCAAAATAGATTTCTATATTAGTACTAGAATACTATGTGGTTTCATGTGTAGTGTCTCATGCACCGACTTTTTCTCGCATAGCATCTGCTGGTTTAAGAACAGCAGTCTTCAACAGTCAGGTATAACAATACTGAACAATTGAAAAAGATAGAAATCTTTCTAAATACCTAGAAATTCTATTTTTTTAAGTATCAGAACTACACTCTGTTAGCATTACATACTGACAGGAACACAACTATCGTTGAATTTGTGTGACTTCAGGAGTGAGAATGTATTTCATAATGCACTGCTTAAATTTAATCTGTGAAGGATAGCTTATTTGTAATTTTTTTTTTAAATAATGTTTATTGAGGGTTTTTTAACTATTTATAATTTGGGTGGGATAAAAACTTTGGTATATTTGTAAAAGATTTCAAGGTGTCAAAGCATTTTTTTCTTTTTGAATATTGGCACTTTCTTTCTTCTAAAAAATTATATTTTGCACATAGTAGCCCAGGAAATAGTGACAAGATATTGAACTACATCAAAAATAAAAATCCAGGGAAAAAAGCCGCCAGAAAGTAGGATCACACATCAGCTTGAGTTGAGCTGCATTTCAGTGTGGTAGACTATATAATTTTTCTCTAAATTTAAAAAGCTAGCAGTTGCCCCTTAATTTCATAAAGCTGTGACTCTGCCCTCTAAAGCCTTGGTAAAGCAGACTAATAGAAATACTTGGCACACGTTGGTTACCTAAGGGAATAATAGAACTATTTGCTGTGGTCGTTTGGCAAAAGGACATAAACATATGGCTTTGGTTTATATTCAGCACTGCCAGTTGTGCAAAGTTGCATGGATGAAGTATACAACAGCAGTGACAACTCAGAAATCAGAAGTGAGAATCAAAATAAATCATCCTCATTACAAAGCTATTCAAGCTTGCCTCTGATTTAAGGTTTATTTTGTCGCTGCATATTTTCAAGTAGTGACTTCAATATAAAAAACATCTACTTCTCAAAAATATGTATACTATTCAACCACACTATAAAATGCCAAATTGTTGATGATTTATACGTGTTATAAACATACTTTAAAGTTTGCATTCAGTAGATGTACTTGCTTATTTTAATTCCTGAGAAACAAATACATCTGAACCAATTATTTCCATGTTATTCAACTTTCTCTTAGAGAAATCAGGAATAGCATTGTGTAAACTAAACCAAAAATTTCAAAAATAAAGATGAGATGACTCCTTGGTTAAGAATAATCAAAATCACAAAACAAGGCATATTTTCAGTAACAGTCTTTAAGAACACCTACTTTGTAAATATTTTTTCTCCTTTCTGGCTATCAACATGTTATTAAAAAAAAGAACAACAACTAGAAGAAACTTTAACGATGCTACAAGCAATGTTGCGAAAAATTGGTTCTTTGGATTTTGTATTTTTTACTGCCAGTAATCAGCATATATAAGCTTTATTTTATCTAGAAGTTGCTATATGTGTACTTTGCCTTGCCTTCTCTCACCGTATTTCTCACAGTCAGTCTGCCATTAATACTTCATATTAAAAAAAGCTGTCGTAGAGTGACAGAAAGAAGCAGTAGACACACATATATACACAGACAGCCAAACAGTGTTCCGTACTTCTGGACAGGCTGTAGGAAATCTTGCTTTCAGATTTGTTTTAAAAAATCTTTTTCTCTATGACATTTTTCTCTTTCTATGTGTTAAATTCTTAAATGAGTGATTGAAAAGAAACATTAAAATATGAGTTCCAAAAGCACTGAAAAGCTTGCTCTGAGGGTATTATTTATTGTGGCGAGAAGGACACACAGCGACATGTTACCTTGGGGCACGGTACAGCACACATGTACCTGTAGTGCTTAGCAGTGTCTGACTTCAGCTTTGAAGTTTGTGGCTTGTGTTTGAGGCTTGAGGATGGATCTGTGCACCTTAAAAATCATGGAGGGTTTTTTTTTTTTTTCCTGGCTAAGTTCATTAGACTAGTGACAGATGTAGCCATTGCCTCTGTATAAACTTAAGTACTTTACAAATTAAAAACAGTCGAGAAAAGATATTCTGTTTTCAGACCTGTCAAAATCAGGTAAGGTTTGTCCTAGAGAAGTTGGCTGCCAGATTTCATTTTGCAAATCAGATGTAGCTTTTAGTCGGAAAATCACAACAAAATGTCAACTTTTATGCTTCTTGCCTCTAGATTAACTGGTGATTTTTCCTCTAGCTAGTTACACAAAAGGAAACAGACTCCCACTCCAGGAGTGTGAAACCCACTCAAGGAAAGTCACGCTTGTACAAAGATTACAGTAGAAGTTAGAAAGTGCACAGCTCTTACATTAGCTCTTTCCAGGAGACACATTTCACTTTTACCTATGTCAGCAGCACTGGCTTCCCCAAGTCATAGTTTGTTTCACAGTAATGTGCCGTGAAACTATCTTACCAAGATAGTAGTATCAATTTAGGTTCTGAAATTCAGAATTAAATTGTGCAAGTAAACTGAAATAGTTATTATTATTGTTATTATTATCATTTATTGCACATGCCCTATTTTCAGCTGTTAGTCATATTCTTGGATCCCATTATAATAGCAGTACATGCACATGTGCACAGATAGACTGCAGGCACACAAAAAAAAAACCAAACTCAGAGCCAAATCCCGATTCTCTCACTCAGGGAAGTATTTCCAGGTGCTGCTCTTGAGTCTGCTGACTGTAGTGGGATGGTACAAACAGAAGAAGTAACATTTGGTTTCTGCAGCCAGGAACTCTGAAATAGTTTGCTTATAAAGAATGATTGCTGCTATTCCACCAGTAAATTCATCTGGAGAAACATGAATATTCTGTAGCAGTCACACAGCAAGTTACTCCAGTCTCAGACGAGCAGAATTTGCAGTATCATTGGTGACTCCAGTCAGTTTTCTGGGATCTAGTTATTGACTTACCCTTAAGTCTCAACCAGTATTGAAGGAAAGGTGGAGGGAGGATCATCCTGAAATTCTTGAAGTCAGACTGAAAGCATTCATAAACTCATTGAGATTTGTTGGAACGTGTTTTCAGAAAATAATTCAACATCAACATACTCAGTAAATTTCCATGTCATGTAAATAGGGCATAACTGAAGCAACACTGAGGCATTCATTTATTTCTTAGCCTGGTTGCCTAATGATTTGGGACTGCATAGCTGCTACCCCTCTGTCGCTATGTTTCTGACTGTGTATCTCCCACTAATTCCTTTTGAATCTATTGACTAGTTTCAACTAATTTTGAAAAGAAAATGTTTAGATGGGTTTAAAACCCATCAAATCAGAGAATATAGGTATAAGACACAAAGATAAAGTAGAATTAATTCCACTATTCACTTGTCATTATTTTTATGAAGCTTGCCCTTAAAAAATATGGGACTGCAACTCCCAATAAAATTTTCCTGGCAAGCACTTAGATATTATCCCGACAGTCCTGATGGCTAAGTAAATTAGTAGTGAGACATCATGTGAGGATATTGTGCAGTCATGACCATTCTATTTATCCCTCATGGCTTCTTGTCTCAAGACAACATATGTACTGGGAGGGAGGGCTGACCATTCCCAGTTTTGAGACCAAGAAGCACCTTCCAGAATCCATCCAATCTTTACAGTAGACAGCAGTAATAAGATATGACTTTCAAATTAACACCTTGATAACTATTACCCCTAAAAAGTTTGGATGGAATTTCTCACTTAGAGTTTAATTCTTTTGTTGTTCCATGGGTGATTTAAAAGTTTGAATACTTTTTGCTGACCATCTGTGGCTGTAATTTCATGTAAAACAATCACTATGTAGATAAAAATCAGAAGTGACAAACTTTGTTCACTTTTTCCAGTATCAGGCAGTCTCTGAAAGAACTATCAAAACCCAAAGATACTACATTTAAATTTTGACCAAGAGAGGTCTTTTGCTGACACACTTAAAAGATTTCACAGTTTTATTCAGGTACATTTGTATAACTTTCAAGTTAATGCGCGGGACTTTTTGTAAGTTACGGTGGTTTTTACGCAACACAGACACGATGTTATTTTAATATGTGGTATGCACCAGGCTAAATAGTCCTATAAATTTTAGGTTTGAATTGATTAAACATCTCTCATAGTTTCAAATTATTACAAGGAAAGAAAATCAATAGAAAAATCACCTGCATTGATTTTATTGTTGGTTTTCACTCATTGTGCAGTTTTTAAATATTCATCACAATGCAATGTGCTATTTAGACCAAAGTAACTGCTGTTCAGTAGAAGCAGTGGACACTGTTTGTTTCATAATTAAAAGAGCAGCACTGTGATTGGTGTGGTATTTATTATGAAATGATGACAAAGGAGTACCGGTGGTTTTAATAGTTTTAGCTTACAGGAGCTGTTGTTAATTTTGTCTGTAGAGTTGCAGGTGAAATAATGCACAGTGGATAAATAGTCTATATTGGTTTAACTGAACATAATATATAGTGTGTTCTGGAGTTGTTTGTCTCAATAGACTATAGTAATCAAAAGTAATGAACCTATTATGTGCAGGACCTTGGAGAGCATAGAATGGCAGTAAAAGTGTGGCACATAAAAGGTTTATTAAAGGAAATTAAAGTCCATCATTGCCACACCTGCTCCCCTATTATAAGTCTATGGCAGGTCAGTGCCTTCAATCACAACTCAGCATCAGAGAACAGAGCCATGTTTCCCATTACCATTGCAGTCACATTGCAAAAACTCATTCTCCAGGTTTTAAGGATAGTAACAAGTAAAGGCTGCCATCAGCCCCACTACATAAACACAAGCCACTTATGTTCCTTCTCTGCTAATAATCAACATCAGATGTAAATTTAAACAGAGAAAAGATATTATTGTCTGGCTTTGAGATGCATTTCGATCAATTTATACTTTCATTTCAGATATTGCTAACCTGTGTTCTAGAATTAGACTTCTTCAAGTACACAAATATCTTTTTCAAATGCTTGTGTTCCTCCTGCAAATAGGTATTTTGATTCTAGTACCTGTATATAATATGTAACCAACAACAAACAAAAAAAACCCCAGGAAATTAGAAAAATGCTTTTTCTCCCCTCGAAAGGCTGACTTTACTCTTTTTCTTTCTCAGGTCAATTTTGTCATATTCTGCAATGTTCTTTCAGATAAGACCTTCAAAACATCTCAGTTATCTGAGTCATATAAAGCTAAAAATAAAGCATCCTCAGATCTTCAAACTCTATAAATGGTAAAAGGTACAAACAGAGCTTCATGCATCTTCCCTCTGTGGGGCAAATCGGTGCTGCTGATCCTCAGAAAGGAAGAGTGAAATAATAGACAGGATCTTCTGTTGACATTGCTTTTTGTCTTGCGACCTTTTGCAGAGAAAGATGTTAAGCATAGGCAACTTCTGGTATCCACAGAATGCATCTACCTTTGCCCAATGCAGTTATATAAATCAGATGCTGGTGTTGGCATTTGTTCCCACATATCGATCTGCAGAAGCACACGGGAGTTGCTTCATCTACAGTATGTTTGATCATCTCCATTTAAAAACAGAGAAACCAAGATTCAAAGACATATAGTGAGATACTACCATAGCCCGAAGAAGAATTCCAGAGTTTCTGATATTTCGCCTAGACAAAAATTCCTCATGATAGAGTCTTCCTTGCATAAAAACTAAGAGTTACTTTTAGAAAGGAGTTTGCTTCCCTGGACATAGTCAAAACTACACTGTTGTACGATGTCACTACAGCTCTCCACATCAGAACATGAAATCTTAATCCCTTTGAATTTCAGGGTTTTGTAATAAAATCCATGCATTGAAAACCTGCCCCTACAATTATGGGTCTGGGCCAGATCCAAGACCAGGAGGTGCATATTTCCAGTGCTGGTTTAGATGTAGCCAAAAGTGTCATGAGAACAGCTGATCTTGCAAGGCCTCTCTTATTTCAGTTAGAAATCTTATGGCAACAGCTGAATTTTTGAGGGGTTGGAATTTTTGGTTGTTTTGTGGTTTGTTTGGTTTTTTTTTTTTATGTGAAATACAAACCTGGACACTACATTCTAGCAAAAACTCATACAAATCTGTAACTGTCTCTGACCAAAACTTCTGAAAGAAGTAGTTAAGTGGTGAAATATTTCAAAGCTGTATATGTGCAATTGCGCACATTCAATCAAGAGGGTTTCACGTTTTAAGGATGAAGTTGCCAGAAATGCAGGTTCCAGTGCAGCTATTAAGATATGCTCGAGTTGCAACAGTAAGGCAGGGTGCCTATAGGCACTGTGGCTTTCTGGGACCTTTTCTTCCAGGAGGTGGATGCTGAAAGCAGCACTCATACAGCACTGTTGTTTCTAACCTTATGCCTTCAGCTAACACCTGTAGACCTTGTCATTAAACCTTAAAGAGTCACTCATAACCATCACTTTATTAAACAAATCTGTATCATTAAAGGTATCTCCTAGGTATTTACTAGATATTCACAGATGGCTTTTTATCTCTTTGACAAGATTAGTAAGGCATGATTATTCTTCTTTCTATTACTGTCTAGCCTTTGGAAATGTGGAAAAAAAGCATCGGAGACTTTTTTTTCTCAATGGCAAAAGGAATGAATTAAAGACTTTGTGTTAATATTACAGATGGATGCAGATGGGGAAAATAAAAAGCTGCGCACACGCTCAAAAGGAACCAAGGGTGAGTTAGCAAGCACGTTCCACGACCCTGTGCCCAGCACACCATGAAATATGATAGTTCCTGTGCACAGTCCCTAATGTGCAGTAAGAGAGTGTGTAGCTTCCTTAGGGCTGCTTTTTTAATCAAGGCAGGACACAGACTACTGGCATTAAGAGGCACGATGTTATTAGCTATGGTTTAAAGAAAAGCAGAAAAAAAATCTACTGCATGCTATTTTCTTTGAGCTATTTCTCGAAGAAAATAAAGGTTATGCTTTTTATTATGCAAACAAAGATTTTCCATAGGGAGCAGAGCTAGACAATATTGAATGGATGCTTTCAAAATAATGTACAAAACTTTGTCTCAGCCAACTGAATGTTTTTCTCTCTATTGCCATTAATTATCCGTAAATTAGCTGTGTAAATGGTCCAGAAGTAAATTTACTTTAATCAAAAGGTGCAGGTGTATGCAGCAGAGAAGAAGCCTGGGCTGTTTTTTAAGTACTGGTGCTTGTGTTCCATTTTGCAAAGTTATGACATAGTTGTATTTCCCAGCTATTCCTCTCTTTTTGTAAGGAACAGATGGAAATGCAGTACTGAGAGATAAACAGGCCCTTAATGATCTCAACATCTGGAAAACATGATTGACTAGCAATACAGCCCTTCCAGGAAAGTAACTTTTTATTTTAATTCATAACACTTTTTGTGACTCTTGATAACGAGTGAAAAATGGAGATACTTAAAAATAAATGTCAAAGTTTTGCCTGTCCTGTGAGCATATTTGCTTATGACTATTCTCAGGGGTGCAAAGCACCGATCCTTCACTCTGATTTTAATGTGAATTGTTCACTCAGGATTGTGCAAAACAGACTCGTTTGATTCATTGTCACAATTCAGTACTTCTGGGTTGTTAATATCACGCTTTCAGCTTCAAGTTGTGGTCAGAATGGAAAACTAAAGTGTGGTTTGGCTTTGTTCTCTAGTTTTAAACGGCCAAAGAGGTGAAAAGTGCTAGACTTAGGAAAAGATAGAGGAAGTGGGTGGGAGTGCCACAAACTGCCCATAGACAAGTGGATAAATATAGACAAGCCTTTCTAAAAAACTTAAGAACTGTTATACCAAATCTCTGATGCATCCCTCAGTAATGTTCTTTGAAATTAATGTAAAATTCATATATACTTCAAAAGTACCAGAACAGAGGACCTGAACAAAGTTATTGAATAGGGAAGTTATTCACACCTCAGCTCTAGAGTATGTCTTCTCTGTTGGTTAAGACTGTGAGTTAAAACAGTCTGGCTGGCCTAGCAGACTTTAATTATATTTAACACGGGATTCACACCCTTTTCACTCAAAGAGCTAATAACACAATTTTAAAACTTATGGATGTTCTTTCTCCATATTTTTTATACACACCTGCTCACATCTGTAGGAATTAGTAGATCAGGAACATCTTCCCAGAAGTGAAATAACAAAAGTTGCCTGCGCAATATGAGTAATCCTTAGAACCACCTGTTGTCTTTGTCAATATGCTGTATATCCTTGTGTGGGCAGGTATTTGTAAACACCAGCCTTTGTCATTCCCAAATGGGATTAAAATTCAGGAAAAGCAGAGATTTGTCATTCTATTTCCAATAAAAGCAAATGCCTTCTCTTTTACTTTTATTTTTTCTTATTATTTTTCTCATTGTTCCACTGAATGTCATACTCCAGGTTTTATGCATCCTAAAATAACTGTGAGAATTATATGTTCAGTTAACTTTTGCCACTAGTAACTACAATCCTGTGGTTAGCCTGAAATTATCACCTGTGTTTTGATAGCCACTCCTCTGTCATCACAGATAGGCAGGTGCAAGGTTGCAGAAAGCACAAGTCTAAAAGTGTAAACTAATTCATTCTTTCCTGCTTTTATTAACAGTTCAAGTGGACTCTATAGCTCAAGAGCTCAGGTAAGAACTCATGTTGTTTATTTTTTCAGTTTTATTTTCTGATTATATTGATAAATTCATACTAATGGTGTTGCTATAAAATACAGAATCCAGCAAATGATGCATTATGTAGAGCTTTAGCATAGATCTGTCAAAGAGTACTTGATGCAGATTCACTTTTTAAATTGTACCAAAAATAAAAGCAAAATGTTAGCATTAACCATGCAAGCATAATCAAAAGTAATGCAAAGTGGGCAGGATTCTGGTATGCTGTCTTTATCTTCAGCCTGTGTCAGGGCACACAACAAAAGAATATGGTTTCTGAATCAGTCTTCAGTCTTCTTTTCCTGTAATATATATTATAGTATTTTAACATCTGAACATTCTAAGAGATAGTAACCTTTATAAGGTTTTGTTAGATGACTTTCACAAAACTGATAGTTTCCGTATACTACTGTGAATTCTAAATGCACTAATGGTTCATTCTTCCTCAAGTACTTGCTGAGGTTCCTTATTTTATTGAAGTAGCAGTGAGTACTTTTCAAAGTTGCATAAAGCATGGCAGTCCATTCAAAACCATAAATTCTGCAAGGATATTTCAGATCACCAATAATCTAGTAAAATTTTAACACTACTACCTTAATCTTACTAACGTGTGCATCAACTCCTAATAACTGGTCCGAGAGGTTTGAACAAACCCTGGAAAGACAAGTATATTATTCAGTATCAAATCTTCAAACAACAGTACGTACCATCAAATTGAAGTTTTCCCTGGGACAAGTTCACTCTTCATGTTCCCCAAGGGAAATATTTACAGGTAGCTGCAAATTCCTAGAGTTATTAATGAAAATTATGATGGACTACAGCTGCAATATAAATACTGAAAACATTATTGCAAAAGCTCTTAAGAGTTTTTCTTAAATTAATTTATTTTGCCTACAGTCACTTTTCATCCCATGCTGCTGAGCTGCTTTCTTAACCACAGCAGGCATCTGAAGTATGTGTTTGTGGGTTCATCCATCTAGGGAACAGAAACATCATCATGTGATTTATTTGATCAATCAAAATGCTGCTGTCTCTTAAGATAGGACATGAAATATTTACAGGAATTTATTTGCAGTGAAGACATACAATATTTTTGTTTTATAACAAAACTGAGGAAATTATAAGCTTCTTATAGATATTCCATGAACAGAAGTGGAGGCTAACTTTTTGGATAAATTATTCCTGGTGAGTCACTCATTCAGCTCTACTGTGAACCTCATTTTTCTGTATGGCTTCAGTTTCCTGAGATTTAGTGCTTCTCCTTTTTCCTCTGTGCATCCCTAATTTATGCACCAGAAGGATGCATTAATCCGAAGAGGCAGTCATCCAAAAATGAGGATGGTCCATGTGTTCCTAAGAGAAAAATGTTTGAAAAATAGAGGATGTGCAAGTTTCTGCAACATCAGGGAAGCTGTAATTTATGCATTATCAATTACTATAGCTTCTCACAAGCAATTTTGCTTTTCCCTGTGAAATACGTGCTATCTTAGGAACTACTGTGTAACAGATTAGTCTCTCTGTCAGAGATGTGGACTACCTCCATAAGGAAATACACTTTGGTTTAAAACAGTGAACTAAAAGGCCAACAAAGCCATTGTCCAGTCCTTAACTTTGTATTTGTAATTTCTACAGTACCAAATTCCATATTGGGTATCTCCGCAGTCAAGTGGCTTTACTGGCATACAAGTCAGGTGATCAACTTTTATGAAGCTATCTGTTAATGAAAAAGTAGAGGAAGAGAGGCAGGGACTGCCTTTTGGAAATGTAGCCTATGAACTGCATTGCTATTACTCATACTCATATTATTGTGGAAGAACTATTGAACATTCCTTCAAGAATTAAAGACTGAAATAGTCTGTTGTGTTCCCTGGATACAGATATTGGAACCACTGTCTTTTCTGACCAAGGTTCTAAATGCTGTGTTGGCTGAGAAATTTAAATCCATGCTTAATTAATTTCCCCTTTTCCCCTGGCTTATCCTATCTGACAAAGCACTTTTGCACTCCTTATTGAGTTTCTGTTACAAAGTGCCTTGGGATACTTCTACATGAAAGGCACTACATAAGCTTACATGCTCATATTGTATTGTTATTAGTTTCGTAACATTGATTGGTTCTAGAGCATTTGTTAGCCTTTTCTTGTTCTGCAAGTTGTGTTTCACAAAAGTAAAGAATGAAATAAATGAAAAGCAAAACAAAGAGTTGTATTCACCAATTAGATTCAATAATGTGTGAAAATTTCTCTCTTCTAAATTTCAGGGGTTGCATTCTTGTTTAATGGAATTCAATGCCAAAAAATCTATTGATTTCAAGAAAGCCAAGATTTCACCCAGAAATCTGGCTAATGTTTTTGCTATCATCCATCTTTTCCTGAGAAATAGGAGCACCTTTCTGCATAAAAAGAACATTTTCAGAAAAACATCACCTTAAGGGACGAGTTAGGTTTTAATTTTTTCTGTTCAGTAAAATAACTAAAAATTCTCTTGCACTGCACTGGGTTTTCAGAGGACAGTACTTTTCTTCCAGATACTGACCACCTATACACAACTTAGATTTAGGTGTCAAACTTGCACTGATTTCATGTAATTATATGTCTTAAGAAATCCCAAATTTCAATATCATATAAATAATTTTTTTATACATGAATCTTATTAATACTGCTGTGTTATTAGTTCAGATTTATAGGACTTTATTTTTTTTTTACTATATCTACTCTTTATGCTCTATTGTTGAAGCATAATATGCTAAACCTAATAAGTTCCTTCAAAACAGAACTGTTTCTCCTTCCAGTCTTAATTAGTTACTTAAGAATGACATGGTTTAATTTTTCATTTAAGAGTGTAGTGCTGTGGTGATTTCATTGGTACCTAAACTATTGACAGGTAGTGGTGAATCTTTTACCACAACCTAAACATAGCAAAACACAATATGTGGTGGAAGCGAGTACTGAAGCCAGGAGATCCCTGTCCCATACATTCAAGTTTAAATCTGATGCCTTTCGGGTATAACATCTCTGTTGCATCCATCTTCTGCAAGAAGCAGAAAGAAGAGGTCTTCTCTTAGATGATTTAGTCATGGACCACTGAAAGGACCAGGACCTTCAGCTGTGTTCAGGATTAGAATGAAAACCAAAGGGAAGTGAAGAATATTGGTGTGATGTATTCTCATTACTGTGTTCTGTTTAACAGATGGGATACAGTACGATGAACCATCTGTAGGTTATGGAGTGGCATCTGGGTCAGACCAAGGAAGAGCAAATTCGACTGATCCAAGCATGGGATTACAGATCAGTTTGGCTAAGCCCATACCTGAATAGAAAGGGTACCTTTTCTGGCTTAGATACAGGTGAAACCAAGTCTTTCCAGCTTCTGTCACTAATAATTAATGAAGACTCAACAAGGCACTGGTGTTTCAAGTCCTGCTTTTTGGTGGGAATAGTTACACTTGCCCTTACTCTCTGTAGTGTTGGATCATTTCTTCAAAAGGACCATTTCTTCAAAAGTAAGGAAAGTTACTTTTTATCTGGAACTCTTGTTCCAGACGCTGTGAGATATTTTAGATACCGAGATAAGTTGAACTGTTCAGTGTGAATGTATAGGGGTATGAGTATCTTGAATATTTTAGCAGAGAGACAAGTAGTAGAGCGGAGCTCTCTGGATGTCTCTTAGTAGGAGTAACTGGACATTTCACCCTTTGTTGCTGTTTCTTAATTATGAGAATAAGAAACCAACAAAGCAACACAGAAATCAATGGTACTGAAGTATTTCAGAAGGCTTATGTTACTAAAATGTCTTCCTTAAGTTTATCCAAAATGTTTAAGGAGTATGTCAATATAAATAACAGTATTGAGAGCATACCAGAAAGCATTTTGCTAACTGAAGTAGTTATTATTTATTCTACAATCCTGATTTTTTTTCTGTTTTCCTCTAACTACTGGTATATGATATGCATCCAATTATATCTGAGCTCTAGTTTCAGACAGTAATGGAATGATGGTAGACAGCTTGATAGACAGAAGATGATTTGGCCACTCAGGAAAAGTTCATATCATGAAAGAAAAGGACTGTGTATACCTAGCTGGATTTAAAAAGGAATGATTCATTGGTAACTCTTTTTGTGAGCTTCACAAAGTAAGCAGGTTTTTAATAAGTATTTGTATAAAAAGAAAGCAGTAGTCTGGCAGATGACCTGAGAAAGAGGTGAAAGCAGTACTCAGATGGTGGAAGAAAGGGACACATGAAACAAAATCACACAAAAAGGCTCAAAGATGTTCTTCAGTAAGAATTGAGATTATGATTGATTTATGTAGCTATCACCTTCTCAGTACTCTTATCCCATAGCACTGCTTAAAAGTGAGACAGAGACTGAGAAAGGTGTTTGTTCCTAGCCTGCATCTGGAAAAACTGTCAGGTTCATCATAGAATCATAGAATCATAGAATTGTTTAGGTTGGAAAAGACCTTTAAGATCATCCAGTCCAACCATTAACCTACACTACCAAGTCTACTCTAAGCCAACCATGTCGTCATTTGAGATTGGCTTCTGTTTCCACAGCAGTTGGTCATAGACTCAAGATTTTGTGGAAACTGCTGGGAAAAAGCACATTTGTCATAACACTGAATAAGCATATCTGGAATAGAACTGAGGTGGACTCTTATGTTTCCTAGTGACTCATCTGTGTCCCACTGGCAGAGAGTGTGGGAGCCTCGGAGTCTTTAATGTGCTCTGCTGAAGCAAAGTGTGTCCCTGGGTCCAAATAGACTTAGTAGTAAACGCTAAATGAAGATGGGCAGTAGTTATATCTACTGCCAGGATATTTATCCTGGTTTTGTGCAGACATGTCTGAGCTTGACAAAAAGTCTATTGTTGCAATTGAAGATTGGCTGTTGACAGCATACATTCCCAGCTCTCCTCCCCAGTGTTCTTTATGATGGCAACAGGCTGGGACAGAGTTGTGCCAACTTCTCATTCAAATATT